TAAGTAACAATTCTCTGGGCACTGAGTAACAATTTCTGTCTGTCCCTGATTATGAATTCTGTGGCCCTAACTAGCGTTTCTTTGTCCCTAAATAACGATTCTGTGGCCCTCATTAACAAGTCTGTGTCCCTGAGTAATGGTTCTCTGTCCCTAAGTAACTTTTCTCTGTCCCCAATTATCGTTTCTGTGGCCCTAACTCTGTCCCTGTCCCTAGTACAGAGCGGTCTGCCTCTGTTCAATAACTGCAGGTAAATGAAGAATTCCAAAATGGCCGCTATTTATAGCTCGACCATTACACAGTGCTGGCTGGCTGGCTGCTGATAGGCTGATGCGATCACATGTAGTTGAGGAATGCATTATGGGTCAGCGCGCCTTGTCTGCGCGCCTTCCCAGACATCCCCGCTCCGTCGCCGCACATGTTAGCCGCCATTTTCTGAAAAATTTCGATTTCGCTGCGTCCGAATTAGGCTATTTTTCGGATTCGGCACGAATCGAAATTTTTTCTTCCGATATTCGACTCGAATTCCACTTCGGATACTTCGATTCGCTCATCTCTAATAATTATATAATTAAAAATTAGATTAAAAATGGGTGAGATTGGTGGAAGTGGAAGTGCTCAAAGTTGGCTTAGAGGGGCTAAAAGTATAAATTCAGGCATTCTGTCAACTCACCTGTGACTCATATCACACCACACTTTTAATTTTGAATTATCTTTTTGATTGCAAGCACTATTCTATGTTGTAAATTGTTTATATTTAAAAACCAAATGGTTTCATGTGATTGTATTTAAATTGTGCATGTGTTTGTTTTTGAACTTATATATTCCAATCATTATGTATATCTGCATATGTATTTTATTTGTAGCATGGACAAACTGCACTTGACCCTTAGTGAGTTCTCTATAGCGCTAAATCATGTCAGAAACATCATGGGTATTCGATCATTTGGTCACTCCGGCAGAGTACCTAAGTTCCAACTTAGAGACAAGACTTAGTCGGTAAGTATTCTAAATGAAAATATGCAGTATGGGGATATGCTACCATGAGATTGTGTTTTTACTTCTGTTTTACTGTTTTTTTTCATATTGCTGTAATGAGTGGATGGTTTTATCACCACTGTATACAATAAATGGATATGCTGTCCAAATTTTGTGTGCTCAAATACATGGCAGTTCAGTGACATTACACAGGCACATATTAGCCATTAAAGGTTATTAGTTTTTTATGCTTAAAATATGTGTAGCGAACAAAAATTGTTTTTGATTACAGCAGACCCTTTTCACTCAAAATGACATTTTAAAGTGGATCTGCCATTACAAAAATATGATTGCTGCCAATGTTTATCTGCTAATTCTGTGGCTGATGTGCTCATCTTATGGCTCCATTGTTCGCTGACCCAGAACAAGTCTGCAGGTTGGGTTTTCCTGACTTTACTGACTGCCTGCCTGTTTCAGGTCAGTGACTTAATGTGGAAAGAATAAAGTGTATGACAGCTAAGGAAACAGAAACCTATGTTACAGCTGTAATTTCTTGATAACAGATTTATTTTAAAGTGAAACCCCACCTTTTCTCCTAATGAAAATAATATATTATAGATGCTCCCCATTTGCACAGACCTAGTGGTTGCATTTAGGAGAAAGCAGCAGGATACATACATGTACAGAGACAGTTTTACACCTGTGTACAACAAGACTCAATGAATGAAACAATGTTGACATTAGCATAAAAAAAATGATTGTTTCAAAATTAATATGAGGGGCTGTATGGAGTCATCTTGTATCCTAGGCCAGGCTGTGTTATATAAGGTTCTGACCTCTGCCTACATCAGAATTAATCAATTAAAATGCTCCTCCAAAATAGTGGTAAACCCAACTTTTGTCATTCAACTCTCAAATTTTAAGGCTTTACTGCCCACTGAAGTTCTAATTTTTAACAGCTGAACTATTGGGTCATATCTTCGAACCCGCAGAGGCAGGTTTTGATCTCAGTTTAGCAAAAGTTGAGATCCTATACGCAGTCAGGGCCTATGATCCATCCAAGGGGTTCCCCATAAATTCCTATGGACAAATTGCCCATTACCATTACCATTTTAACCTTTGAAATGTTTTGACAGCATTTAGGGATACTATTTTTTCAATGGAATCACTTACTCAAACTTTTACAGCAATTTGTAGCCCTGTACCTGAGTTTGCACAGTGGTTCGTGTCAGCAACAAGCTTACAAAACAAACGCTCTGCTTTCTCCTCTAATGTTTACTTGCACATTGCTCAAAAAGAGTGATTTGTACCAGAGCACACCAACGTAATTATTATTATTATTGTTATACAGGATTTCTATAGCGCCAACAGTTTGCGCAGCGCTTTACAATATAAGGGATACAGTACAATTACAATACATTTCAGTACAGAAGGAAATGGAGGGCCCTGCTCATGGAGACTTACAATCTAAAGGAAGGGGGAGGTGATACAAAAGATGATAGGTGCGGAGGATGATCTGGTGGAGGTGATTCAAGTACAGTTCTTAGGTGGAGGTGGGGTAGGCTTCCCTGAAGAAGTGAGTTTTCAAAGATTGTCTAAAGGCAGACAGGGTGGGGGCTGACCGCACATGCTGTGGTAGGGAGTTCCAGAGGATGGGAGAGACTCTGGAGAAGTCCTGGAGGCGAGCGTGGGAGAAGGTGATGAGGCAGCTAGAGAGGAGGATATCATGGGAGGAGCGGAGTGGGCGATTTGGGCAGTATCTGTGGATGAGGTTGGTGATGTAGCTAGGGGCAGTGTTGTGGATGGCTTTGTAATGGTGTAGCACTAGTTTTACCTGTAAAAGGTACTAATTGCAGGGACAAGTTGCTCATTAACATCACCATTCCAACCTAAAACAAATGTTTTGGCAGCATCTAGGTATACTAACGTTTGTTTTTAGGTAAATATAAGTGTGTGGTATTCAAGCTGGAATATTTTATTGCTCAAGGCGTCAGCAACCTTTGGGCTTGCAATAACTTCTATTGGCTGCTTACATGACCTGTATTCCATTGTCCATTAAATATATTCACAAATACAAGTGTGACAGGTCATAGTTGAGTAGCACCTTGTCCTGAACAGGGATTACAACCTGAATGTAGTTTTGCTGTAATGAGGCTGTAGTAGTCAGCCTAAGCTGAATTTGTAGTTTATTTCTTCATTTGGTCTTCCCCTAAACTCAGTGGAGCTGTGATTTCTCACTGCTGCCAGTAGGTGTCATTGGTATCTCTGATAATAGTATGAGATTCCACAGTAAGACTGAATTATGAATATTTTTGCATATTATTGGTGCATGCTGGGGGGAGCATAAATATTTGGAGCAGGCCTTTAGATCTTGTTCTTCTCCCAGGCTGTGGCCTGAGCGGGAGCTGCTGGACTGGTCTATCCTGCTAGGCCCATAGCCTGTGTGAGGCCTAACATGTGTGCTGGACTAGGAGATAGACCTGACATGAACCTGCCTGTTGATGACAGAAGCTGTGGCAAGATTGAGACCCAGGAGGAGGACCTTGCTGGAGAAAGCCAGGATGATGGCTGGTTTTCTCACAGGGGCCTGGTAACACTCTTGGACAGGATTCATGGAAGCCTAGGAAATGGTACAGAGGGCACTGGAACCAAAAAAGACAGAGAAGCCTGTTAACCAGCTTAAGAGGTTATCTACAGGTTTGCTGGCTTAGACTGTGTACACTGTGTATCTGGACATGGATCTGGAGACGCCTGTATGTGCTACTTTGGGTATTTTCGGATCCCTAACCTGTTCCTCCTGTGTGTAATGAGAAATAAAAAGACAGAAAGTGACCAGTGCCAAATGTTCTTTCAGTCGTCCATTTTAGCCATGGACTCAGCCCAGTGGTGAAATGCTGGCCCTCCCTGTATCCAGGGGTACTTCACCTGTTCCTGGAGGTTGGCGGGCTATAGCTGTACTTGACAGAAGGCTCATCAGTATAGGGATAATTATGGTGGTAACACCCTGGGCCAGTTTGTAAGTCAAAACTTTCATAAACGTTTTTACATCAGTTTGGGATATTTGTCTAAAGTGAATGACAAAGTGGAAGGTCCTTATATTGTTGGAGATAAATGTTATTGTGACTTTCCTGTAATTCAGCAGTTGCTTGCTGCCAGGAGAGAAGTCAAGGGATTAAAGAAATCTGAGAGAATTTGATAAAATTCATTGGGTCGCTCATCGGTGCCTGAAGTGATGTATATATCATTCATTTATCATTGAGAATCTCTGACTCTATTGTTATGTGAGTGAAATTTAACAGAAAAAAGGCTTACAGTGCCTCTTCCATGAGCTTCCATCAGTGGACGATTCAATCAGCGTAGCGAAGGGAGGAGACCCTTGCCCCATAACATCATTCACAGACAAAGGGATTTTCGGATTCATTACTGAAAGTAGGAGCTTTGGAGTTCACTACTTATCAAAATAAACTGCTGCCTCTCAGATCAAAAGGTTCCTGTGTCATTGTGAGAGTTTGCCACTAAACAGTATGAAATGCTGCTTCTGATCTCAAAACATTCATGTGTCATTGAGAGGTAATCGTGAAATTATGAAAAAATAAGGAGACAGGAATCTAATCTTTAAAAAATTACAGCAGACACATAAATGTTTACAGTGGTGTCTATGAAAGTGAATGTTCATGGAATTGTTGTCCATGGAAGTATATGTTCCCTAAAGAGGAAAATCCACCCAAAACAGAATTCCCCATTGTGGGTTTGAGGAGGTAATATTTTATTTACTGCCCCATATACACTTGCAGTCTAGTGCCCTGGTGGGGAAAATTCCTCGCTCTCACCCTTGATCTGTGACAAGATCTCGACTAAAACCAAAACTACTCTTGTCACTGGATCCTGTTAATCATCCAAATCCATAATACATAATTAATAATAAAACTACTTTTGTTTTTGGAAGCCCTTTTGAATTCTCCATAGGAAAATATGCAGTGGCTGTGCTAGGATTGGAGTCTTGGACAAAACATAACATCCTTACTACAATCTGTTTGGCTGACATTCACTTATTTTTTTAAGTAATATCCTGTAGAACATGTCTACAGCATGCTGATATACCAATATACCAATATCCCATTATAGTTTATGTACAGCTGTGGCACTCTTGTCAGACAAGGGCTTAGATACAGTTGGTGATTTTTTTTTTTACTGTACAAATTAAAGCTGATGTTTAAAGTGCATGCCCTGGTTGATCCCTGCCCCCTTTATCAACATGCTAATCATATATTTAAATGAAACCTGTATTACTGTATTACATGTCATATTTTAGACCGAGTGACATGATTACTAGGTCTCTATGCCTCTCTATGCAATGCAAGCAGATCAGGGTTGGTGGGATGGGCCTGCAGAGTACTGTACATAGCTTCTTGAAAACATCTCATGCAGCATGCTGTCTCTGTACTACTCCCAAGAACTCTCGGCCCTGATGCAAGAAGTGGGCTGACTTTTGAGAGAAGTTAATCAAATGTCAAAATGCCTTGATGGGTGAATGCCAGTCTGGAGGAGTTGTCATTTCAAGGCAGGAAACATTTGCAGGAAGAATGCCCTAGGTAAGGCCTACATGTGATGCTGACTAGAGATGTTCATGACAGAAACATTTGTTTCATTTCAGATTTGTTTGTTAAGTTAATAATTTTGTTTCATCAAGTTTGAATAATTCATTTTTTTGAATTTGTTTTGTATATTCGTTACTTTCAAATCAATTCAAAATTCAAATTCGAATTCAAAATCCAAATTTCAAAAGAAGGCTATATTTGTTCTTTTCTAATCTATTCTTTTCTAGTTTATTCTTTTATTTTCTGTTCTGTTCTATTCTTTTCTATGCTATTCCTTAATTTTCTATTCTATTCTATTATTTTCTATTCTATTCTTTGCTTTTCTCTTCTATTCTTTTATTTTCTATTCTTTGATAATCTTTTGTTTTCTATTCTGTTCTATTCTACTCTTTGTATTTGATTCATTTATTTTCTATTGTATTCTGTTTTATTCTATTCTGTTTTTTTTATTCTTTTTTTCCTATTCTTTTCTTTTCTATTCTATGATATTCTTTTATTTTCAATTCTGTTCTATTCTTGTCTATACTATTCTCTTCTGTTCTATTCTATTCCATTCTGTTTTCTTCTATTCTTTTTTATTCTAGTCTATTTTATTATATTCTAGTTTATCCTATTCTTTTCTATTAAGTAGCCTAAGTAGGAATCATCATCTTATACCTTACTTTTATACCTTACTGAATTTATTGCAGTATGTTTCTATTTTGAATTCAAATTCATGTTCAAATTAAAATTCTTTTTCGAAGTTTGCATTTGTATTTTTTTAGTGTTTTTCAGAGTTTACCTTTTTTTTATCAAAATTTTACTCCCACAAAATCTTTTGGCTCAAAAATGCTCATAAATGCTGAATGTCCATGGTTTGTAGAATTTTTCAGCTTTTATCAGCATTGGAGCATTTTCACAGCTAAAAAACTCCTCTTGAAACTCACTAGTTCTGGGTTGTTTTCCTGCCAAAAAACGCTGATTAAAGCCTGTGTGCATGAATACATAGGATAACATGCTGGGGAGTTTACTGGCTGTAGAAAACAAAATGCCAGAAACCAAAGACAGCAGCTGTAAAAATGTCCAGTGTACTGTATATGAGGGCCTTAGTTGTACTTCCACTTAGGTAGTACCTTATGTTCATAAAGTCCCCATATGAACACATATGTACATTTAAATGAGTTTTGCATGTACTATAACTAACATGTATTTTTTAATAATGTATACAAACTTGAAAATCATGGTACATTTTATATTGCATATCTGTACCTTTTTTATTCATCTGTTGTCCAAATTATTCTGAAAATCGTATTAGTGTTTTTGAGGAGGAAACTATTATATTAACATTGACACAGTTTCTGATAAAGATATCAATTATTACTTTCCATGAGATACTTTGCTGCAATTTTTCCTCCATGAAAGGAAATAATGTATTCACAAGCAATCAGGCAGGTGAACCATGTATGGGAATTTGGCCAGTCTTGAACAAGCTGGTCCACCAAAATACTGCATTTATATTCTTATTGGAAGAGAATAGCTTTCTGTACCCTGAAATGTATGTCTATAAAGTCACTGTTAGTGTAATGCAGGTTTGGGTAAATGCTGCATAAATACGATCAATTCAGGTAACTTTTGTATTAAGATAGTGGATCCTTTCATACAGATTTGTTCATTCTAGGGCCTTGGTACTGATAGTGAACTGGAATCCTGCCACACGTCAGGTTCAGCGTCCATCGGAGGTTTTAAGTGGGATGAGATCTTTTCTCAGCACATTGCAGTCTGTTGCTCATCTAGTGAATATTGATATTACACGTACTATCCGTAGCACGTTACTGCAGCAAACACAAGTGAATGATGCTAATGGAGAGCAGACTATCACCTCACTTTATACCAACTGGTAAGGATTTTTTTGTGCTGTGCTTCTAATTTGAAATGTTTTCCTGGCTTACAGAGCAGCTGCTAATATTACATTCAATAAGCATTCCCTGCCATACTGCCCTAGCCACCTCCTGCTGTCACTTTCAACTACTTCTCCATTCTATTCACTCTTTTGACACTGACTTCTACTTCTTAATAGTTCCATGCCTCTTTATTTGTGGAGAAGCTGAACTCCAAGTATGATCTTTATTGCATACTTACCAGTGGCGGACTGACAAGTCATGGGGTCCCCGGGCAATAGGGGATCATGGGACCCCTAAGTCCTCGCCCACACTCAAACCACACCCAGAAAAAGCCTATGAAAGGTACTAGAGGCATCTCATGGGCCCTCTACTGACCCCGGCCTCTCGGGCAGTGCCCAAGTGCCCGAATAGTAAGTCCCCCCTGATACCTACATTGGTCCAGCTTGGACCAATGTTAGTATGCAAACCTCATACATGATGGGATGCTGGGGAAGCTGAAAAATTACTATATTATTTGTCGCTACTGCAGTGATAGCCATAATCTTCTGGGTCCTGTGCAAGAGTATTTCCTCTGAGCACTGACCAGAGGGTATTGCATACTTGGCACTGCCATTCACAGTATGCCAGGTATTTTTTTTTTAACCGCTTCCGTGCTTCCCTATAGCAGAAATACTGCTACAGGGCGGCATGGGTGCGCAAAATCACGTATATATACGTGATTTTGCAGTTTCCGGGTAGGGGGCACGCGTGCGTGACCTACCAGCGGCCTCGACTGTCAATCACCAGGTCGTGTCCAGTGATTTCCCACTAGCACCCAGCGATCTCTGAGGATTTCCGACCCGTATGTAAACAATACAAATCTCTCCCCTGTCAGCTCCTGTACACTGCTTTGTATGGCTTTGTTTGTTTGTACCACCATTTGTAAATGCTATAACTTTCACGTAAACCAATTAATTTACATGTATTGGAATTTTTTTTTAGCAAGACATGTGGCAGAGTACATTTTGGCCTAAATTTATGACAAAATTAGATTTTTAAAAAATTTTTACTGGACATGTTTAATAGCAAAACGTCAAAAATATTGGATTTATTTTTTCAAAATTGTTGTTTTTTTTGTTTATAGCGCAAAAAATAAAACATGCACAAGAGATCAAATACCATCAAAAGAAAGCTCTATTTGTGAGAAAAAAAGGATGTAAATTTCATTTGGGTGCAGTGTTGCATGACCGTTCAATAGTCAGTTAAAATAATGCAGCGCTGTATCACAAAAAATGGCCTGGTCAGAAAGGGGGGGGGGGGGGGTAAATTCTCTGGAGGGCAAGTGGTTAATAAATAGAAGGCATTCTCTGATAGGTCAAGGTGGATGACATCACTGCCCCTCCTCTCCATCTTTTTCAATCAGAGGATGCTTTGTATTAAAAAAAAAATGGAAAAAAAAGATGTTCTATGAATGGCCAGTGAGCAACCCCAGTGTTCTGTGTGTTGACGTGAGGCCGCTCACACAGAACCCCCGCAGGAACCAAAAGATTGCAGCTATCACTGTAGCAGGTCTGACTACTACAGTGATTGTCAGCTTCCACATCAGTCCCTCAGGTATGAGATATTCATACTTTCATTGTGCCAAGCTGGACCAATGTAAGTATGCAGTACAGCTAATTCCTGGAGTTCAGCTGTAACTCTTTCATCTAGAACGATTATGTAATTGCTTTTCTTATAGGCGAGTGACACAAGTCTTACAAATTATTACAAAAGATTAAGTCATTTCCAACCTTAGCTAATGTGAAACAAGATCAATGCTAGCCAGTAACAAATCAAAGTACTACCGTAAGTTTCTCAAATAAAAAATTATGTCATGGGTGTGATGCTACGGGCAAGAAAAAGAAAGCAGTTAAAAAAGTATAGCAGAATATAATGTAAATGCCTGTGAATATTTTTAGCATAAAGCACACGAAAATCCCGCAGATGTATGCACTTCTGTCTGCTTTGCTATGATTACACATCCTCAGGGGATCACATGTGGCTTAACCCCTTCCAGCAGAAGGTGGCCAATTAAAATGTCGTAACATTGGAGCTGTTACATGGGATTCCTGGTCATGTGATCGCTGTGATTGGCTGTTACAGTGATCACTTTGATTGGGAGACAAACAAGGCTGTATGCATATAAGTGGAACCTCAGTGTTGGAAAAGAAGTATGGGCTTATGAAAAAAATAAACCTACAGCTGCAGCATTGGTGTGATGGTGCAGCTTTCCCACGCAAGCTCTATGACTGAGAACTCAGTGGTCACGCAACTGCTGATTGCTCAGTTTTTGGCCTGGAGAGCGGTGACTGTCAGTCACCGCTCTCTGTCTGTTCCTTCAGCACTCACTGGAGTGCCAGAGTCGGGTACAGATGACTCTGGCTCTCAGCCATGCCAAAACATTGTACAAATTAGGCTACTTTCACACTGATCTGCAGCAAAAACGCATATGTGATTTTGCCACATTTGTACTGCATTTGCGGTGCTTTTTTTAATTTAACATGTGACTCAAAAACCGCACCAAAAATGCACTGCCAGTGTGGTTTTAATGCGTTTTTGCTGTGTTTACCATTAATTTCAATGGAGAAGTGCACCAAAAATGCAGCAAGCAGAACTTTGAAACCTGCAACGGATCAGTGTGAAGAATTAAACAGGAATACATGGTCACGCATTTTTCTTCCACTTTATTTTAACACAAAAGCGAAAGAAAAACAGATCAGTGTGAAAGCAGTCTATATCAAGTAATGTTTTTGTTCATAATAATGTGGTATATTTTTTTAAAGTGTATGTAAAACCAAAGTTGTATGAGTTTTGGTCAAAGTGAAAAAAATAATAAAACCCCTATCAGGTTTTTGTTGCTCCCCATGTCCCTGCTAAGAAGATTCACCCTCTATTTGTCATTGTCACTGGGATAGAAGGTGATTGGAGATCCAAAATGTTAGAGCTGTCACAAGAACATGAAATGAGGGTAAAGTTTCAAATGGTAACATCAGTCTAACATCCAGTTCGCACCATGCCCACACCTGAATTGCACAGGAACGCGCTGTGTGTTCCTGTGCAATTCACACCAAATGCAAAACATCTCCATTTGCGATCTGCTGCGGGTGTCAGTACAAAGGTAATGACATCCCAAACGCAGGTTGCAAACACAATACTTATGTGCCATGTGATCCGGTAGCATGTGTTTTAAAAAGTAGAGCATGCACTACTTTTGGTGCAGTGTGGTGCGATTTTAGCCCATTCAAAATGAATGAGCTGACATTGCACTGCACAGACCCGCACATGAATCACACAGGAACGTACATCGCTTTCCTGTGCAATTCATGTACAGGTATGGTGTGAACTGGGTCTAAAAAGGGATTTCCCCACACTTTTCAGAGGTTTCCTCTTACTTCATATTGTAAATGTGCGACAAGAAAGGAAAGAGAATCTCCCTGTAAGGTCATAAACAGCAGAAAATAGCCAGACATTAGTTTTACCTCTTCTCTGCTCTATATTATACAGAAAAAAGTTTTAACTTTACATAAACTGACATTTCCATAGATTACAACTAAAGAGTTACTTTGAAAAATCATCTGAGTGTTCTAATTTATTGAATTACATTCTGGTGTTAAAACAAATCTACTACAGTGGAAATAATTGGATGTGTCTTTGCACCAAGGTACCTGGAGTGTCTTCTGCGTCAAGCCAGTACGGGATTAATAGTGTATTCTCCGACATTGAAATGTTTTACTGATCTACCAGCAGAACTGGGTGGAGAACATGGCCTTAATGCTGATGAGTACACAGATGTGTCAGGTGAGATCTCCAATAACCATCCATGGGTGGATTTTATATGTAACTGTAACTGTCACTTTGCTGTGTTGTATCAGTAGTCCTAATTGATAAAAGGTAAGATGACATACATACTGATAAGCTATACAATTTGGATTATCTTGGCCCTATTTTCTATAAGGCATTTGCAGGGCAGTGCTTAAGACAGTAATGTCCAAACTTTTCTCTCTTTGTCTGCCCACCAGCAGATCTTTGTCAATGGAGGAGCAGAGAATCTGCATTATTTGTGTACAAGGTCAGAAAATTAGGTGGAGGTCAGTTGTTGAGTGGTCAAACCGCAAAGTATGGTACCCTTAATTTTATTCTCACATTGAAGATATTAACACTGAAGTACAACAAATGTACAATGGTGGGAGATCTAGATACGGAAGTCTTGATGCAGAATTCCTCGTAAATTGTGGATGTGACAGTCTAGTTATTGAAATCCCAGACTGGAAGATGTAGTCAAAACTCAATGATGTATAGGTAGATCTGAGGGGACCAGACCTTTAGGACATTGACACAGAGCCTTGTTTGATAATGTTAAACAAAAGAAGAGAATGGTGAGAAGGCAGTGTCTGGAATGCCAAGTGAGTGCAGAAGGTCCAGTAGCAGAAGTTGATTGGTGTCAAATCTTGAGCAGCAGTGGTGGGCATAGGAAGGTTACAATAACCTTTGGTTTAGTGGACGTTTATAAGTTTTTAAGTGTTTTGTAAGTATTTTGTTGACTGAGCAGGATGAAGGTTTAGAGGAGGTCAAGAAGTGAGTAAAAAATTTTTAGTTTGCTATAGACAAAGCCTTCAAGCAGTTTTGAACTGTATAGAAGAAGTCAAATCTGGTTCACTAGAGTGTAGAGAAGGGTCAAGAGAAGGTTTTTTTGTTAGTATAGGAACTATGATTGCTTATTTGAAGTCTAAAACAAAAACGTCTGTAGAGAGGGACAGATTATCAGTTCAATCAGTGTAGGCACCAGGGCAGAGGACGGGGCAGAGAAGACTGGGTCAAACAGAAAGATTGTGGAGAAACATAGGAGAGGGATTATTTTGTTTAGTGACTAGAATGAAGGCGCTGAGGGTAGTTAAATGTAGATGTGTGATGACTCAATTGGCCCATATTTGCTTTAGAACAGTTTTTGATATTATAGGCAGTGAAACAATGGTTGGGGCAGATGGAGTTAGCTTCAAAAGGACATCAAATGTAGCAAGAGGTTATACAGAAATGAGTACTTGGGAAGGTATGAATGTGAAAAACTAGTTTTGTTTGAGAGGAAATAAAATGGTGGAGTTTACATTTGTACTAAAGCCATTGGGTTGATTGACTAAAGGCAAAGGATGTCCCACAGCTTAGTAAATGCAGTGAAGTTTCACTTTGCAAAGAATACCCAACTACGTGCAAGGAAAATAAAAAAACATAATTTGTTCTTGAATATGATTGAATGATGGAGGTCAGCAGAGCACCACCTCATTCACTAAGCTTTGGGGATAATTTCCTTATAAAGTGCAACTTCCTTTGCAAAGTGAACAGTCTAATTGTCTTTTAGTATATCAATCCTGCAGTGTGTTTAGGACAGATTTTTCTCCACTCAAAGGCTACTTTTACCTTTAAGAAAACTAATAAGTGCACATATTTTCACAGGAATAAAAAAGCACATTTATTATTTTTTTTCTACAGGAGCCTGCTAAGCATTGCACCCATGATAAGTGGATCATGGGTGCAATGCAGCCTCCTGAAGACACTTTCTCCAGATTTCTGCCTGTAACTTTGTATGGGTTTTCAGTTGGAAAGCTGGAGGATGTGTCAATAAACTATGAGCGTGCTGATTAACACAGTTATGGTCCATTGAGGACCACAAATCTGTCTGATGCAGTGGCTTATAGTTTATTCATTCACAGATCTCTGTGAACATTCCTGTGTGGGCAATGATAACTTGTAGTTATCAATGGACCATGAGTGCAGTAATCAGTGTCCTCATAGTCCATTGACACTTCCTCTGAGCCGCACACAGCTATGTTGAATTTAAATGTACTAGGGGCTGTGTGGAGAGGAACCCTTGCACATTGTTATAGAGAGTGGATTCTGGGGGTGGGAAGCTTCTGCATAGGAACATGTTACACCCTAAATAAAGGTGTAATATGTAATGTGTTCCTGAAGGTGAACTTCACCTTTAATTAAAAAATGTCCTATTTTTACAGCAACACTCTATTTTCCACCTTATGTCACCAGCTAAGAAAGGTAGTATACCTTAGATGCTTCTGATAAGAGATATGTAATTTCTCTTTACTTTGAAAGAGAGCTGCAATGAAATGTCAGAATACAGCTAAGCTGCACATTCTGTTTTCATGCTCTGTTTATTAAAGGCCAACTCCATCTAAAGCTGATATTTTAGATGTAGATAGACTTCAATGAATTGAATGATCCCCTGGCTTTTAATATCCTCCTGGGTCTCCTCTAGTAATTTTTCAGCACTTTACTTTGTGTCTTTGTTCCCACGTGCAAGGCAATAAAAAGGGTTCTCTCACAGCGTAACTTCTCTAATTTTTTTTTTTATTTTATACTTCGATGGAGAATCTGTTAGAGGATTGTGGCATCATCTGGCGGTGCAATATGTACTGGTGTTAAGTAGATATGAACATTTTGTTGGTAGTTCACCACTGGATTTCCTAAGATATAAGAAGAACCTGGAAAATAAATTTTGCCAGCAACTGCCTAAAGAATAAAATATTGATTTTGGATTTTGGAACGTTAGACTAGACATTAACCTGTCAATCCCACCCCTGGTTTATCACCTGGGTGAGGGTGAGACCATTTATGGTGCCACTTTGGGGACAAAAAGGATCAGCTCTGATGTCAGCAGTGAATTTGTTTCTGACAAAGGTTATACAACCTTTGTTGTATCAGTCTATTGGGAAAGTTGCACAGTTGCAATGCAAAAGAGCCGGATTGCCAAATTGCTGCCACCTCTTAGTATCAGCTCGAGTTCTTTTCCAATGGAATACAGGAAGCTGATATCAAGACATATTGGTATCTATGCTACCAGCTTTTAGAAATACAGGTGATAAGTTTTGAATCGATGTATTAAGCAGATAAAAGCATATGTAAAATCACTAAAATGTTATATAAGCTTTAACATGTTAACATCATTTCAAAGGTCATTTCAATAAGTTTAAATCTCCAGATTTCATTAAAATATTACTTAGTGGCTTTGTTCCAAACTCATTAGGTTCTGGAAAGGGGTCAATGTCCTCTTTTACAAGGCTACACCCTAGGGACCCCTGCATAGTCTTATTAAATGACCAATACCTAACCTTTCAGGATGCACTCTGACGCTGATCTTTTTCATAATGCTGTCAGCTAAAATATCAATTGCACAAGCTTGGAAAACCACAACTGTTCCTCTATCTCTGGTCACAGCCAACATTTCCTGGAGTATGACTCATCTAAACTAGCCAGCATTGCGCAGACAGACAATCACCCATGGTATTGATTTATCCAATCAGTTACAAAGATCCAGCCATCTGGCATCTTGAAGTGACCCCCAAAGTGGTAACTGTAAAAAACCCCAGGTTTTATGCCCTACTACAATCCTAAGCTAACTTCTCTCAGACCTTCTTCTCTCCTTCCTCTTTTCTTTCTATCATCCTATCCTTTTAATAGTAGGTGCAGTGCTTTAGGGCTTGTTCACACTTGACTAAATTTCTAACTCTTACCAAATGCTCCTATAGCTTTAGTATGGCCATTAGAAAGGAGTTACTGAGCTTTAGTATAGGAGTGAGACTGGCTTTTTACAAATGTTAAAATCACTCCCCAAATGCCCTGTGTGCAGTTTTGAAGCGTTTTATAAGCATTTTACAATCGTTAAAATACACCACAAACACCTCTAAACTAAACAAAACTGTAATGTTGATACGCACAGCAACCGCACCGCAAATGCCCCACAAACGCTGCCAGTGTGTTTGTGGATTGTCACCACAGACTTGAATAGGAGGCATTGAAAGGCTTGAAACTCCTCCAGACTCGACGTGAGGCTTCAATCTTGGAGCGACACAACGCTAACGCTTCATGTTTTGATAATGTGTGCTGCCCATATAATTTTTTACATAGGCATTTGAGGAGCGCTTGAAACATCCCTCAAACACCTGCTTTCAGTGCCAGTGTGAACTAGGCCTTAGGTCTCCATTATTGAGCGAGAAACTAGAAAGCGAGAAAAATTAAGTTTAACATTACTTATGGTGATAAATTTACTGAGTAGATGTCATCCTATAATACATCTATTTATATTTTATGGTATGTAACACTCAATCTGGCGTGGGGTTCCCTCTAAAATCCATACCAGACCCTTATCCGAGCATGCAGCCCAGCAGGTCAGGAAAGGGGGGGGGGCAAGTGAGCACCCCTCCTCCTGAACCATACCAGGCCACATCCCTTCAGCATGAGGGGATATGAGGTGACATCACTGGGTGGCTCAGCCCCTTGGGTTATTTAGGAGCTGTCAGACAGCAGGTGCTTTTGACGGGAGTGGAGCTCTTTCTTTTTCTTCGGGTCGGCGGGGGCATTCATCGTGATTGACCTGGTAGGGATTGGGGGGGCCCATGCTGTTTTTTTCCACTAATTTTTTAATTTTTCATTTGCCGACAATAGGAACCCAGCTGACAGCTGATGACTTATCAGTTGTTAAGGACACAGCGGTTGCTCGTTCTTTAACCATTTGCCGCCCGCCCTATGGCCAAACGGCGGGCGGCAAATGTCATCAGCGTTCCGGGTGGACGCCATATGGCGTCCTCCCGCACATGCGCAGATTGTGCTCCTGGAGAGCGGCGCAGCGGTGCGATCTGTCACCGGCCGTGTACCTCGGACACGGCCGATGACAGATCTGAGTATCGGCCCCATTGCCGATACCATGTGACCTGCTGTGCCCACTCAC